GTTAACTACCTCAATCTCTTCACCATCCATGCTGATGCTGCCAATTGGCCCAGTGGTTAGAATCTTTGTTTTCTTGACATTTAGCTTCAGTCCATATAGGAGGCTGTAGTCCTTGATCTTCTGCAGCAAGCGCCTCAGGTCCTCCTCAGTTTCAGCAAGCAGGGTTGTGTCATCTGCATAACGCAGGTTGTTGATGCTTCCCCTCTTCAATTTAAAAATGTTTCAGGAGATTATAGGTGTGAAATTGTTACGTGCTGTCGAGTCATAGGTGACTCATAGTGACTCTATGAGCGAAAGTCCTAGACACTTGCATAACTTTCGTCCTTTCTCCAGGTTCCTAGGGTTTCCAGAGGCAAGCTATTTCAGAAGTGGATGCCACTCCTGATTTCAAGCTTGTTTTAATCAGGGAGCTCCACCAAACATTGTCCGTCATGGGTAACAATTATCACGTTTGACACATCAGTGTCACAGTGTTCAGCATCACAGCAACCACGAATTACCTCTAGGCTGAATTATCAGGTTAGAAAGAAACACAAAAAATAAATTAAATAGTCTTTACCTTTGAAGGACTCCTAATTAAGTTATAAATATGGATTTATAAGCAAAGACTGTGATGCATTTTCTTTTATTTATAGAATTAAAATGCTGTGATCGAGTGAATAATGCTAACTAGGAGAGTAATGAGAGTCCACATTTCCCAGCATATGCAAAAGCATGGAAGAATGAAAGAGCTTAATGTTATCGCATGATAGGAAATTCAGGGTTGTTGGTGCAGGTCAAAGAACAGCAATTTATTACACGCGTTGGAATTAAGTTGTGAAAGACTATACTCTTTTTCTGTAAGTAAACAAATGAAAGTTCACTTGAAGTCTTGAAATGTGGGAAGTAGTGTGGCCATTTCTGTGCTTCAGAAAGAGAATGTATTTATCAGTGTGGGAGACCAGCAGTAGAAATGTAAATTATCTTATTCAGTGGCTCAGTCAGAGATTAAAGCAACTGCAAAATTGTTGGTTTCGGGGTACATTTCTAGGGTCCAATTATTAAAATTTGGTGACCAACTGGATATAGAACAGAGGGTAAAATGAAATTAAATTTAAAAAAAAACAAAACTGAAAAAGAAGATTTTTAGTCCAGTAGACTTGGTAAATGATGCCATCCATTGACAAAATCTGAAAAGGGGAAATAAAGATTATAAATTGTGGTTAGTCAACATATAAAATTTATATCCATCCTCAGAAGTATAATCTATATTACTTAAATAAATGATATTCTAAAATTTATTTGGCCTTTAGAAGGTTCTTGTTGTTGTTGTTGTTACATGCCACTGAGTCATTTGAGACTCACAAAGGACCCTATCTATGTACAATAGTGCTGAACTCTGCCCTATCCTGAGCCTGTCTCACTGTTTTCCTCATTTCTCCAGTTAGTGTGTCAATTCATTCCATCTAGGGTCTTCTTCTCCTGTACTGTCCCTTCACCCTTCCAAGAATGATATCCTTTTCCAAGGACTTGTTCCTTTTAGAAACATGCCCAAAGTATGTGAGGCTGAGCTTCAAAATCCTTGCCTGCAAGGATCAGCCTTGTTTCACTCTCTCCAGGATTTTGTTTATTCTCTTGGCAGTCCACAGTATGTTCAACACTGTTCTCCAGCACCACAACTCAAAGACATCAATTCTTCTTCTGTCATCTTGTCCAGCTCTCTTCTGCTTAGCAAGTAATTATGAAACCATGGCCTGGATCAGGTGTACTTTAGTCTCCAGACTGACTCTCTTCAGCACTTTTGAGAGGTCCCTGACAGCAGCTTTCCCCAGAGCAATTTGTCTTTTGATTTTTTTTTTTTTTTTTTTTTTGTCTACTGATACTAAGAGTGTTGATTGTGGATCCAAGCAAGCTGAAATTGTTAACAACCTCAATTTCTTCTGTCTATTATGGTACTGCCAATGGGGCTAGTGGTAGAAATCTTCATTTTCTTGATGTTGAGCTTCAATCCATATTGAAGACTGCAGTCCTTGACCTTCTGCTTGAGGTCCTCCTCAGTTTCTGCAAGCAAAGTTGTGTTATCTGTATAATGTAGGTTGTTGATAAGTCTTCCTCCAATCCTGATGCCACATTCCTCTTCATAAAATCCAGTCTCCTGAATGATCTGTCCCGCATATAGTTTGGAAAGGTAAGAAGAGAGGATGCATCCCTGGTACATTCTTTTCCTCATTTTGAACCATGTATTATTTCCTTGCTCTGTTCTAAGGACTACTTCCTGGTCCAAGAGACAGTGTACATAAGGTGGCAATAAGTTGCAACTGACTCGATGGCACTTAATAACAACAACATACTGAAGAAGTCCTCTTGGTGCTGAATGGTTATAAACCTGAAGTACCAGGATTTGGAAGTTTTATCTTTGTTCTGAAGCTCACACAGAACAGGGAGACATCTATCAAAGCAGCTATAAGCAATGGCTGTCCCTCAAGTCCACTGGGACAAATACACAAAGAATATAGGCTTATTAATCAAAACTACTTCCTGTAACCACAGATGGGTGTTTGAAACCACCATTGAATAATGATTATGTTCTGGATATTGTATTTGCCCTTTCATTTTGTATTTTCATTATTCCTTTTCTCTCTCCCCCAACCTGTTCTCTTTCTTTCTCCATCTCTCTCTCATTGCCTCTGACTATCTCTTCTCCTTTCTTTCTCTCTCCCTCTCTCTCCACCTGCCTCTGCTTTCAATTCAGAACTGACTCACAAGAGATCTTCCAGTGGGTTTCCAAAGCTGGAGAAGATTGCCCATCTTTCTCCCTTGGACCAGCTGGTGAACTCAAACTACTAGAGAAGTGTGGCCTTTGGATTAGGACTTGGCCTTTGAACTGGCACTAGGGCACCAGGGCTCCTTTATACTCTCCTGCAGACTGAAGAAACTGAGGTTTAGAGAAGATAAGATCAGGTAGCCATCAACTAACAGGTGAGATTGGAAACCCAGTTAGCACTCAGTTGTTGATCAAAAGGTTGGAGGTTGGAACCCATCAGTCACTCTGCAGAAGAATTATGTGCTTCATGCCATCAAGTTGATGCTCACTCATAGCAACCCTTCATCTGGTCTCCAATGCTGTGAATCTTTCCAAGAGAAAACTTTCCACATTTCTTCCATGAAGAAGCTGGTGGACCTCCAAACTGCTGACCTCTTAGTTAGCAGCACAATATCCAAGGTACAATGATACACCCAGAGCTTCTACTGGAAGTCTTTATGGCCTTGGGAATCTTATGGATCAGTTCTAGTCTGTCCTACAGAGTCACTGGGAGTTTGCATCAGCTTGATTTAGCAGCAATAACATTGGTTTTCTAAACCTAAGTTTCATTGGTCCGTGATGTGGCCTCATGTGCCATTAACACATCATTAATCTGTAGCTAGCATACAGCTTTTATGTGCTGAGGTTACCATTGTTTGATTATTAAAATGTACTGGACTCGACGCTCCTTAAAATGGATTCTATTATTATTGGTTGGCCAAGAGTCTTCTACTGATTTGTTTTCTGAGGAATACACACGTGGTAAGAAGCTAAAAAGTTTTGGAATAAGAAGGGATAATGGCTGAGGAATTATACAAATGCATAGGTCTATTTCTGAAGAAGTAATAACACCTGAATTGGAGATTTTTTTTAACTTAAATTTGACTATTTGTGTGTGTGATGGTGGTGGTTTACACGAAAACCTTTTATTCAAATGCCATGACCAATATGCCAACTCAGTTCCTTTTCTACTTTTCAGGGATCTCTTGTAGCCCTCCTCCTGTTGTAGAAAATGCTAGATCATTTCATTCTTTGGGCCCCGTGCCTATTGGCAGTGTGATAAGATACAGCTGTTATTCTCAATTCCGCGCCATTGGATACACAACTCTTCATTGCATCAGTAAAGACAACGTGACTGCAGTCTGGGATAAAGCAGCCCCCAAATGTGAATATTTCAACAAATATTCTACCTGTTCTGAGCCCAGAGTGCCAGGCGGATACAGAAATGCAAAATCTAAACCACCATACAAACACGGCAATTCTGTGACATTTACCTGTAATGCCAACTTCAAAATGAAAGGCAACAGCACTGTCTGGTGTCAAGGAAATGGAATGTGGGGACCGACCCCACTGCCCGTCTGTGAAAGTGGTAAGTACAAGCATGGCAATGAGCTGAGAAGGTTGGTTGATCAAATTCTGCATCATTCTTAAGTGGAAACTCTGGGAATATAAGGAGGAGAATAAAGCAAAAAGGTGAGAATTATGGTTTCCTGGGTTTTTTTCTTAGTCATAAACATCCAGTAAACAAATATCAACTGAGCAAAGTTTACAGTATTCAAGACAAAGCCATTCGGTACCACTGAGCTACAGCTCCTTGCAACCTCTGTAGCCAAATTCTAAAGTCATCACTTATTTACGGCATTGTCGAAGTAATGATTTCTGAACGGTTGACCTGGAAAACCAAACTGAGGCTGCTATTAATTAATTTTCTTCTCAATCAGTTTGGTGTTACTGTTGAAATCTGAACCTGAACTTCAGTTCCACCCTCCAGAGATGGCCAATCTTTGATATTAGATATTTTCTTAGTACCGAACAATATTGATAAATTCAAAATGGTTTATACTTCTTAAAAGTGTTGAATTACTTGAAAAATATTTAATATATTTTATATGATTGTTGTTGTTGTTAAATGCAAAATCTTAGGGATACAGAAGGTCTCTCAAAATTGTCAGAAAGTCCATACTATGGAAAACAATTTTTTAAATAAATATTTAGATTGATATATATGCAATGACAGAAAATCTAATAAATTGTTAAGTAAATTAGGTGAAGCATGGGTTTAGATGCATTAGGTCTCATGCACAAACATAGCATGAGAGGGGTTGTGTGTGTGTATGTGCAATCACGTACAGGATCCCGGTAAATCATATTATTAATAGCTGCCAGGACAACCCCTCACATCACAATATGGTACTTTCAGAGCAGAGAGGCTCTGTGGATAGGGTTACAGTTTGGGCAAAAGTGGAATTTTTTTTGTAATTTAATTTTTCCACAAGGCAAATGTAACTCATAAGGTATAAAAATAGAAAATAATGTACGAGTCATGATATGATATTAAACTGCACAGCTGCCAGTAGGCCACAAGTGCGTGTTGATCTTTAAAAGGCCGAGTTGAATGTTAAAACCCATGGTGACGATATATCACTTGTCACTATTTGGATCTGCTGCTCAGTCAGAATCTGAGTTATGACAAACTTATCACTTGATGGCTTTTGTCTTTGTCAAGATGTCCCTTTGGAGTGCCCATCACTTCCCAGGATCCCCAATGGTCATCACACGGGGGAAAATGGAGGCCCTTTTGCCCCTGGATTGTCTGTGACTTACAGCTGTGAGCATGGCTACTTACTTCACGGAGAGAAGACCATCACCTGCTTGTCTACGGGAGAATGGAGCACTTTCAGTCCCACGTGCAAAGGTGCTCTCGATTCACAAGATATTTTCAGACTGTGGTCTGGTCTGTGATTCTTCATGCATTGCTCATCTTTGACTTGTTTACTTAGAGGCCCAGTGTGAGTCTCCAAGACGATTCCCCAACGGACAGGTCAAGATTCCAACAAGTCTTCGGGTTGGTGCAACCATGACCTTTTCCTGTGACGAAGGGTGAGTGTCAGCTGGGCCTATGGCATTTCACTCCATTGGTTTGAAAGGACCCCGCAGGAACTGTACAACCTACAGAGGGCTCCTTCTCTGACACCTGTGGGCAATCTGGCGACGACGTGAGAGAAAATGCTGAACAAAACCCATTACCATTAAGTTAATTCCAACTCTCATACTGGCCCTCCCTGGGCTTTCAGAGGCTGTGAATCTTCATGGAAAGAGACTGGCCATCTCTCTCCTTCAAGTTAACTGGCAGATTCTAATTGCCGAACTTTTGCTTAGCAGCACAATCTAACAAAAGGAATCTGTTGTTGTGATTTTTATCTATCATTGAGTCACATGTGGCTCATAGCCAATCCTCCAGCAGATTTTTTTTCAGAAACTGTAAATCACAGGGAGGAGACTGCTCAACTTTCTCCCAGGAACAACTGGTAGATTCAAACCACATGCCTTTGGGTTTGCAGTGCAGCTCCATACCACTCATCCACTAGAGCTCCCTTCAGTAAAAAGAATAGGTACACACAGATAAACAAATTAAGACAGTGAAGCTTGTAATATTTTAATTGTGATTTTAACAAAAGTTTGCAGAAAGGTTGGATTTTCATTCATTCATTGTTGTACATTTTCTCCCTCCCTGTTTTCTCTCCACCCCCAGTCTACTTTGTAATGCATCTCTTGTTCTATATTCTGTCACATACATAATGCCTAGTCATACATTTTTTCAGTCTTTCCCCTCATCTGTTTCAATGCAGTGTTCATTACTAATCCATTCTTTTCCTGTTCTCTCCCAAACCCCCATGCCTGTCCTATTTTATAACAGTGGTGTTATGCACTATTTGTCCTTTTATGCTGAGGTATTTCACTCAGCATAATGTCTTCCAGGCTTACCCATGTTTTGTAGTGTTCTACACATTCACTGTTTTAAAGTGCTGTGTAATATTCCATTATGTGAATATACCAGTTTTTCTATTCAATCATTTGTTGATGGGCAGTTGGGTTGCTGTCATCTCTTTGCTACTGTGAATAATTCTGCAATAAACATGGATGTGCAAACATCTGTTTGAGTCATGGCTCTGGTTTCTTTAGGGTACCTTACCAACAGTGGAATAGCTGGGTCAAATGGAATTTCTATTTCCAACTTTTAAAGAAAGTATAGTTTAAATAGAGGTTGCTGTTTTGCAGCATAAATCTGTACCTCCAAATGACAACCTTTTTTCTCCAGGTATCGATTACAAGGCCAGTCATCTAGCCAGTGTGTAATTGCTGGGCAGCATGCTGTCTGGACGAAGATGCCAGTATGTGAAGGTAGGCAGGCAAGTGGTAGCAGCCAATTCCCACAGCCAGGGTTTAACACAACACTATATTCTCAGCTTAATTCAAAGTTTTTGTTTTAGTCCTTTCTATTCAGGCTTCTGTAAAGCAAAACACTATTTAAGGGATATTGTCTTTACCAAAGAATCTTTCCATTTCCTTTCTAGTCTCTACTTAATCAGCTAAAACTTATTTTTAGCCTATTCCTTTTTGGTAAAATCTCTGCAGTGTAACCACTACATAACCGGGCCAACCATATTAAGAGCATCATAAATGTGGCAAAAAGACATTTGAGGATCAGGAAAACAGATATACTCAGGAGCAAGGTTTAATAATCATGCCTTCTAATGAGATGACTTAATCTGCCTTGATTGACTCATTAAATAACTCACCTCCAAGTGGTACCAAGTACTGTCAGAGGTATTCTTTGGACACCTATGACTTTGTCATTTCTCCTTGTGAATTTTTTAGTGATTCTTTGCTCTCCACCTGCTGCTATTCTCAATGGAAGACATACAGGCAGCTCATCAGTGCGCCATCCATACGGAAGCACGGTCACCTACACCTGCAACCCGGGCCCGGAGGAAGGAGTGACCTTCATTCTCATAGGGGAGAACACCCTCCATTGCACAAACAGCAGTCAGATGACTGGGATCTGGAGCAGCCCGGCCCCACGCTGTGAACTTTCTGCTTCTGCTGTTCGGTGTCCACGGCCCCACGTCCGAAACGCACACACACCCCTTGTGCAGAAAGAGGAATACCTCTATAATGACACTGTGACATTTGCTTGTGTGTTTGGTTTCACCATGAAGGGCATGAGTCAAATCCGATGCACTGCTCGAGGCACCTGGGATCCACCAGCTCCGGTCTGTGAGAAGGGTGAGTGTTAACACAAAAGGTACAGCTGGCCCATCTCTCTGGAAAGATAGGAGGAGGGGCTATGGAATTAAACAAGGCTCATTCCAGTCTCTCCTCTGATAGCTCTCGTTGCCTTCGAGTGGGAGCCGACTCATAGCTGACCCTCCAGTGGATTTTCAGAGACTGTAAACTGCACAAGAGGAGATTGCCAATCTTTCTCCCTTAACAGTGACTGGCGTATTTGAACCACTGAAGAGATGTGGCTTCTGGTTTAGCTGTGCAACTTCCTACAGACTAGGCCAGACTAGCTTATTTCTCATTTCCTCACCAGAATTTATTATCTCCATAGTTTATATTAAATACAGTGGATAGACATTATATACAGAGCACTCCTAATATCGTGATTATCTCCTTTTGGGAGGATATCTTTGGGGAGAGAATATAAGTTGTCCATTTCTTTATAAAAGAACTGTGGGAAATGTTTGTCTTCATTTCCCAGTTGCACTGAGTCACTTCCAACCTCTGTGTCAGAGAAGAACTGTATTCAGTGTTTTTTCAGTGGCTCACTTTTCTGAAGGAGACTGCCATGCCCTTCTCCCCAGATGCCTCTGAGTGGGCTCAAACTTCTCATCTTCCAGTTAGCCACTCAGTATATCAGCTATTCCAACTCCCAAGGACTCTGTTTCTCTTAATAGAGGATTCACCAAAAGAAGACACCAGAGCTATGTTCAACACTCCCATTAAATGCTTATGAGATGACTCTTTAAGAAAAAGCATTACAGCTCTGAGTGAGAACTGAACAGAATCTGAAGCAACCTCTATGCAGAAAAGAGGAAATAATTGAGAAACATTAACCTAAAATGACACAAAACTTAGGTGTAAAATAGTAGATCATTGCAGAGGGGCTTCAGACCTTTTGTTTGTAGGGTTGCTATGGGTCGTGCTCAATTGGAAGGCAATCCATAACAAGAAACTGTAAAATAGCTTTGTACCCCGAGTGGGATGGTAGCATTAATGTCTACTTCTCTGTCTCGGTGCCTCAGGTTTCTGTCTGTTGTCGTTAACATGTTTCTGGTTTTTTGGGTGTTTTTTTCCCCTTTCCTTGTCTTTAGAATGTCAGGCCCCTCCTAGGATCCTCAATGGACAAATCACACCTTCCGAAAGACACGTCGTCCGCTTTGACCCTGGAACAGCCATGAAATACAGCTGTGACCCTGGCTACGTGCTGGAGGGGAAAGAAACCATCCACTGTACCTCAGAGGGATTGTGGACACCCAGAGCTCCCTATTGCAAAGGTGCCAGGTTTCGAGGGTAGCTGTTTTGTTTAGGGTTGGGATCCCCCTGACTTGCTTTCTCATCCTAGTTTCTCTTCTTAAGTGGCACAGTGTGAACCTGTAGGAACAGAACTCTTTCAAAAACCTCAGGAGCAGTTTATTCGACAGGATGTTAATGCCTCCTGTGAGGAAGGGTGAGTGAGGACTGTCTCTGGCTGCACCAAGTCAGCTTCTTGGCACAGACCGCACACTCTGTGTAAAAACCTACCTCAGAGGCCCTCCGCTCTCACATGCTGTGGACCGTGTTACTTTTCCGCGCTTGGATGCTATACGTGTGCAGTGGCTTATGTGGTAGTGCTGATGCCACCTCCCTTTTTGTTCCCATTGCTTCTTGTCCTCAAAGTAGTGAGTCTGCCTTGAGCCCAGCATGTCTGTGGCTTAGCTTAGTGGTTTCCAGATAGGAAAATGACCAGATTCTTTATCCCTAGGTACCGGTTAGGTGAGAGTGTTTATCAGCAGTGTCAAGGCACAACTCCTTGGTTTGTGGAGATCCGTCTTTGTAAAGGTGAGTAACAAGATGAAGAACTAAAAGAATGAAAGGGCTGCCTAAGTCCTGGGATGCTTCTGGTTTAGACCATTCTGTGGAAAGCATAAGATTTGGTTCTGTCCTATCAACTCAGAATATTTATAGTTGCATAATTTTACTGTCTTTCTGTTCTCTCTTTCTATTAAAACACAGCAATCAGTTAAGTTAAATATGCCCAGTTAGCAATTCTTTTTTGTGATTTAGGATTATAAAAGTAAAGAGTGCAGGGAGTATACAAGCCATCCATGTAAACTGTAGGCACTAGTGTAGTGGAGAAAATAGAGATATGAATCTGGAATAGGACGCAGACTTTGTACTTGACAAATTTACATACCATCTCTGAAACTTGAGTCTATCTGTGAAATTAGCACAAAACTATAAAATGATAGTAGAGGTGAGTAGGTGGATGGGGGGGGTGAACGAATATTAAAGATTCAACGTGGACTTGAAAAAATAGTAATAATAAACATAGATCAATAGTAATTATATAAAATACAATGTACATGAATGACACACCTAGTAAAATGAAAGACTATAAAACACAATGTACAGCGAGCTCTGGTGACCTAGTGGCAAGAAGGTGTATTGCAATCCCAGAGGTGCACGGTTCAAATCCACTAGATGCTCTGCTGGAGAAGGAGGAACAATCTCCTCCTGTACAAGTCAGATCTGATTTGATGGTGCACACACACACACACACAAAAAGAAATAATAAAATAAAATAAAAATTAAAAAAAAAAACACAATGTACATGCATGAAATCCAATGTATATGAATGATTGTATGCAAACCAATGAAAAATATTAGAGGGGGGAAATAAAAAGTAAAACTTATTACACAAAAAAGTCCTATAAAATGTACAGTGGTTAGAATTAAATCATTCTCTCTTCAATTCTGGAAGACTCTCAACAAGATAGATTGACACAGTGGTTACCACTGCAGGTTCAAACCCAGCATCAACTGTGCGGATGGTGCAGGACTGGCAGAATTGTGCATAGGGTTGCTATGAGTCAGAGCTGATTCGTGGCACCCATCAATCCCTTCTGATATGAGAAATCCACCTTCCACAAAGTAGGTCCCAATAAATATTCCTAGCTAACAACCTAAACTATCATATAATCTCAGCACAAAGATTGTACTCAAAACCCTTAACCTTATTCCGCATAGAGCTCTAGGGGCACAGTCTGCAGTGAGAAGCACTGCTAATCCCCAGGCTGCACATCGCCTGTGGTTTATATCCACCATCTGAGGGAAACAGATGGACAATCTCCTCTCACTAGGATTTACAGCAGCAGAAACCCAGTGGACCGTCACTATGTGTCAGGACCAACTTGAAGGGAATGAGTGCAGATTTTGAATTTTATTCTTGGTTATATTTTTCTAAAAATCTTTTCATTCATACTTTACTAATCTCCTTACTGCTTCATGATGACATTGACCAACATGTTCACTTTTTACAAAGGTTCTCATAAAAATCTGCTCGGTGAAATCTGTCTAAATTGAATTATTCATATGTCATGACATTGTATATAATTCATGTCATCAAAGCTCACTTATATCCTCCAGAAACCCTGATAAAAGCGAGTTCATAACCACCTTCACTTCCGTCCCTTGTTGTCTGTCTACACCTGGGACAGAGTTGCTCTCCTTTCATCTCTCCAGAAATCACATGCCCACCACCTCCTGCCATCTCTAATGGGATTCACTCTGGGAGTTCCTCAAAGGATGTCGCGTATGGAACCACTGTCACTTATACCTGTCACCCTGGGCCAGAGAGAGGAGTGACATTCAACCTGATTGGGGAGAGCACCATTCGCTGTATAAGTGACGACCAAGAGAGGGGCACCTGGAGTGGCATCGCTCCTCTCTGTGTACTTTCCACCCCTGATGTCCGGTGCTTGCATGTCCACATTGACAACGGGATTAAGATATCTGGCAAGGAAGCCCCCTATAGCTACAATGACAGTGTAACGTTCAAGTGTCATAATGGATTTACTTTGAAGGGCAGCAGTCAGATTCGGTGCAAAGCCAATAACACCTGGGATCCTGAAATACCAGTTTGTGGAAAAGGTAAGAACCCAGCTAGGCAAAAAAGAGATATTGTGTTGGTTTCTACATTGCCTTGTTATTTATGTGAGGACTGTTCTCTTCAAGACTGCCCGCCACCTTCTAGAATCCTCCATGGTCAGCATACAGGTGGGAATCAGGCACACTTTGCCTCTGGGATGACAGTCGACTACACTTGTGACCCTGGCTACTTGCTTGTGGGAAATAGATCCATTCACTGTATGCCTTCAGGAATCTGGAGTCCTTCTGCTCCACAATGTGAAGGTACTTTCCGTTAGAGGCTTGTTTTTCTTTCTCATTAATGAAATCTCTGTGAGTAATTCCTTTACTCCTTTACTTTACTCCTGTAGAAGGATCATGCAAGCATTTGGGAGAAGATATACAAGACATTCCACTTGGCATGCGTGTAGTACCCTTCAATACGTCCTGCCAAGTTGGGTGAGTATAAGGAGATCCCTCCTGAGAAAGGGTCCCGCCTTGTTTTGCACTTGAACTGTATTCTCAACTTGTTACTGTCACACTCCATCACAGCCACAGAAAATGTGAGGCTCCAGACACTTACCTTGCATTTTCAATGCTTTCTTGACATGGAGGTGGCTTTTCTGTGAGTCTAAATCAATAGCAGTTTCTTTATTTCTTGGAAGGCCAACTGTTTTAACTCCCCTCTGTCAAATTTCTTTTTAAACATGCCTTTCAAGCATACTAGAGATTAGAGATGATGAGCATGGCACAGGTTAGGACAGGATTTAGGGCTGGTTTTCATATGGTCCCTATGAGTCATATTCAACTCAATAAACACAACAGGCTCACGGTGGTTGAATGGGCCCAGGTCACAAAAGTGTGCTACTGGGACAATGGTATATATTATCTGTCTCTAGGTACCAAGTGACTGGACATTCTTATCAGAAGTGTCAAGATGCTGAGAATGGAGTTTGGTATGAAAAGATCCCAATTTGTAAAAGTAAGTTAGATTTAAAACAAACAAACCTTCAACATGAGAATGAAGGTGAGGGCAGGTCATTAAAGAAATAGCTTGAAACAACTACCTCTACAGTTGCACTCTGCCTCATTGTCATTAAAATGAGGAAAGTCTTTCTGTGCGTTGTCAGCACTGACACTGGGAAATATTAAGTGTTTTCCATATCCTGTCCAGTTCAGCTAACGATAAATAAAAAATGTGTATGTAAGTATACAGGTGTGTGCTTACATGTATATATATATATATATATATATAATATGGACTACATATAATGTGGAATATATAAATATACACCACATTTTTAGTAAGGGGGTATTTCTTTACTTCTTAATGCTTTTCTGTATTTTCTGCTTTTTAAAAATGACTACATTTTGTTACATACTCTGAAAAATTAATGTAGCTCACTGAAAAATAGACAGTCTAGGTTTCAAATTTCAAAGACAATTGTGTAAAGCATTTGTAGTGCAATGGTCTCATTTGCGTCTGAGAAGAAACTGTCCACTTGAATGTGCCAGCTGACAGAATTTCCTCAATCTCTTCTGCAGTTATTCACTGTTCATCTCCACCGAGAATTGAAAATGGGAAGCCTGCAATGATAAGAAAGGAATTTTTATATGGAAATGAAGTTTCTTATGAATGTGACCCAGGATTTGATCTTGTGGGAGAGAAAACTATACAGTGCTCGAGTGATACTCAAGGACGTGGAGTTTGGACAGGATCTGCCCCAAAGTGCTCCCGATCTCTTCCTGTGACTCACTGTCCTTTACCAGAGATCAAACATGGACACACACTGAATGCAACCCAGACTTCATATTCCCACTATGACATAGTACACGTTGCTTGTCATTCTGGCTTCATCATGAATGGTAGTCACTCAATTAGGTGCCATACCAACAACACGTGGGTCCCAGGTGTACCAACTTGCATCAAAAAGGGTAAGATGTTTTAAGGAATGATGTATGTATGGGATGTTGTGCAGAATAATGGAAAAAAATCAAAGGAATTTTCACTTGCCATTCTTCCTAAAGGCTGCAGCAATAAGAAAGTTTTATAAAGTGTCTGCTTTTTCTTAACTTCTCATCTGATTTATTGTTGTTGTTCTCTCCTTTCTGTACATGAAAGGATAATTTTTAACTACCCAATGGATAGAAGTCTCAAAACTTTTCAATGGATCTAATATAGGAAAAAATTATATTCCCCTCTTCTTTGTGACTATTAGGCAGTGATAATGCTTGATAATCTGAAACAAGCTAGAAAGAGAATATTGAGTGTTCTGGAGAATGAAGTTAGCATTCACGTCCATTGAACGGTCTTGTAACTTTCTGTTATTATCTGGTAGCCTTATCCTGATCAGTGACTATATATTGCCGAGGCAACCAAGGAGTGAGCCAAAAACTGAATTTAGCTCAGAGAATTGTTTGGCCAAAATATAAGTATTACTTTAAGTGAAACCTATCCTGTAGTCCAAGACAGTGAACCTGCTATAGTGAGTCTATGAACCTACAATATGTTGAGGGTCCTCCTTTCTCTCCCAAAATGTACCAGAAACTTGAACTAAGCAAAATCTATTACTTTGAGGAAACCGGAAACTCTTGGATTTACCTACCTGCCTGATTCGCTTTCTGACTCACTTAGGTATTTAGATGTTTGATCTTAGACTACCTCTGGTCTGCTATTTAAAGGGAGAGAACACAGCTATCTGAAATTTTAAAATTGTGGGCTACAACCACTGACATTTCATTGTCTTATTTTTTACCCATTTCTTCTGAACATTTATGATATAGGTAGACGGAATCTTTGCTTAGTCCATGCTAGCCAGTCTGGGTGGGATAAAGGAGGATTTTGAGCTATTAATTTATTAGTTGACTAACAGCCTGCCTGCTTTCTGTATCTCTAACAGCTGGGGCGGGGAAGTTGGTCGTGTGTCCCATGTCTGTGCTGAATTAAAAATCCTTTCTTATTGGTGTTTAAGCTATCTTAGGATGTGACCCTCCACCTGAGATCCCCAACGGGCATCACACTGGTGGAGATACAGCTCAGTATTCCCCTGGAATGTCGGTCCTGTTCAGCTGTGACCCAGGCTACCTGCTGGTGGGAGAGTCGCTCCTTCTTTGCACATACAAGAAGACATGGAGCCATCCTGCCCCGTCCTGTAAAGGTGCTTTGGTTTTTCCTACTTTTAATCAATTGTATCCCAGATCATTGTTTTCTGAGGGAGCCCTGGTGACAGAGTCTGCAGGGAGTTGCCCTGCTGACCCAAAGGAAGCACTTTCCTGGCTCTTCACATTTGCCTCAGCTCTACAGGAGAAAGATAGGCAATCGTCTCCCGTAAAATCCACAGCATCTGAAAACCTGCTGGAGGGAATGCTTGGAGCTGGTTCTCACTTGAAGGCAATGAAAAAGATAGTCAGGTACTTTCAACTTACAAGAGCAAAAGAGATGTATTCATTGAGAACTGTCTTTTTACTCAAACTAAACTCTTCCTTGGAAAAGATGCCAACTCATGGCAATCCTATACGTGTCTCAGTGTACCTGTTACACACCCCATAAGAACAACAACATTATTTAGATTGTTATTGTAGTCTATCTAAGGACTGACTAGGTACACAGTCATTTTAAAACCAAAAGTTGAAGTATGTGTATCAAACAGCTAATCTGACAGCTAGCTGTATTTATGCTGTTAATGTTAAGTGTACGTTTGGCACAGCATAAATAAAAACGCATTGATCAAAGGACAAATATTGCATGGTGCCACTGCTGTAAAATGGGACTGATATCAGGGTGGGGGTAAGACTGGGGAAAACTGGATAAATTGTGTATACTGCACTGAAACAGATGAGGGACTGAATAATTTAGAAGCGATGTATGATAAGGTATTATGGTTATCACAGGAGTCCACAATTAAGGTTGCATAGTGGAATGTACTTGGGGCGGTGGGAGGGGCGCGGGGGGATTGTGTACCAGGGAGGGAGTCTTTCTTTCACTTTTGAAAGAGAGGAGCGAACTGGGGGGCGGGGAGAGAGGGCTGGGCGGGTAGAGAAGTGCAGCAATGAATGAATGAATAGAAATCCAAACTCTCTGTAAATGTTCATTAAAATTATTTTTAAAAGTGGAAAAAAATGTAAAAAAGCCACAAAAAAACACATTGATCTTTTAAGTGTATTTCCTCTAAATGGTGGTGAGATTTTGAGTACTTTTAAAAATAAGAGTTACAGAGTGTTATTTTCATGATTATCAACAACTCATATAAGACACATGAGTAACAAGAATGATTTGTTAAGCACATTTTTCTGTACGCCAGCTACTGTAAGCAGCACTTTGCTCCCATTCTCTGGCTCTTCCTAAACACCACACAGGGTTGGTGCTTTTAGCATCCATTCTAGAGGCAAGATGATTATAGCATGGCCACAGTCATACAGCTAGGAAGCCTAAAGCCAAGTGAGAGGCAAACACAGGAACTCACATTATAAACCTCTGCATTGAAAAGACAAAATACAGCAAAAGGTATGTATGAAGATCTAGAAGGCAATTGTAGGCAGATAAATAGGAACCTATAGTACTTATGTGTATCCCTCACCTTTACTACAAGAGGATATTAAAATTATCCAGCATAGTAGGGAGCTCTGGTGGCCTATTAAGGAAAGAATTGTGCTGCCAATCCAAAGACAGTGGGTTCAAATCTACCAGCTGCTCCATGAGAGAAAAAAATGGGAAATCTTTTTAGTATTATTATTATTATTATTATTATTATTTTCATTTATATTTTAACAAGTTTACAAAAAACTTTAATTTCCATTCATCCATTGTTGCACATTCCCCCCCATCCCCCCTGCCTCCAGTTTTTGCTTTTCTCTTTAAAAAGAGTCTTTCTTTGTTGCACAAATCAAAAGGGTCAAACTTGCTCAGCATTTCTTTTTTTCTTCTTGTTGTGTACCATCAAGTCGGATCTGACTGGCACAGAAGGAGATTTCCCCTCCTTCTCCAGCAGAGCATCTGGTGGATTCAAAGCACGCCTTTGAGATTGCAGCACAGCTTCTTGTTACTATGCCACCAGAGCTCCCTGAAATCTCTTTAATATACAGATATTAATAACCTCTGAAAACCTGCTGGAGGGTCAGCTGTGAGTAGGTCCTGACTCGATGGCACTGTATTTGAGTTTTTTGTATTAGCATAGTAACTGAAATACAAAGAAGAATTTAGCTTAAATTATGTAGACATTATGGAGATGGCTGATGCTAAAAGACTGTGCACCTGGGATATTGACTTACCTGCTTTGAAAGGAGGGCTACTTACTCAAAAACCCCTCTACTGAGGAGCTGATTCTGACTTGGAGCCAATAGGACAGAGCATAACTCCATGGGGTCTCCAAGGCCATAGGCATCTATGGAGGCACACTGCACTTTTCTCCCATGAGGCAGCTAGTGGGTTCAAACTACCAACCTTCATCGAAACCACTAGGAGCTTACCCACAGTCTTACTTTAAAAATGCCAAACTGACTGGCATCAAGTGGATTCTGACTCGTTATTCCACTCCATTGCCAAGGTTGTGAATTTTATTTTATTTTATTCATTTTAATGAAATTTTACAGACACTTTGGATTTCCATTCATTCTTTCTTGCCTTTTCTTCCTGCCCAACCTCTCCCCAATTCACTCTTCTCTTTGAATCATTGTTATACAATCCCTCCCCCCAAGTCCACTCCACTGTGCAGCCTTCATTTTGAATAGTAAAGAAAACTTCTTTCACTGTTATACAGTATCTCCCCCGAAGTCCATTCCACTGTGCAGCCTTCGTTCTGGACTCCTGTCATGAAAATAATACCTAATCACATATCCCTTTTAAACAGTTCTCTCTCCCTCATCTGTTTCATTATTTATCCCATCTTTCTCAGTCTCCCCCTAACCCTGATGTCAGTCGAGATTCAACACCTACCTGATGGGTTCAAACTGTCACCTTGCTGTTAGCAACCCATCACATAAAACACTATGCTACCAGTGCTCCTTCCAGAATAAAATCATTTGGTTTCACAAACTTTCCATTTAAAGCACTATCTACATTCTCAGTAAAAAGACAAAATATGACACAGCTTCAATTAGATTCTCTTCATTTCAGAGGTAAACTGCAGCTTCCCGGAGTATATGAGTGGCATGCAGAAGGGGCTGGAGCCTGGGAAAACGTATCACTACGGGGCTACTGTGACTATGGAGTGTGAAGACGGGTACACCCTGGAAGGCAGTCCTCAGAGCCAGTGTCAGGGGGATCACAGGTGGAACCCACCCCTGGCTGTGTGCAAATCACGTAAGTGCAAATGAATCACGTGGTCAGCTGGGGCCCTTACCTGTCCCTCTGATAAGAAAGGAAGGATGGGGTCATCCCTGGGTTTTCAATTTACTTCATTCTGTGACAAGTGGTTTGGTACCAGAGGAATTCTGAAGTCAGAGGTCTGTTCTAAAAAAACAAAAAACACCACAACTTCATGATGATGGTAGAAGTAAAAAAAAAAAAAAAAAAAACAACAAAACAAATTACACACACAAATAGAGAAGAACCCTTACTTACAACAAAACATATAACCTTATCTTTGAAAAGAGTTGCCAAGAGTTGTTGTTCCTTCATTTATTGCTATATCTAGATGTCTGTGTGCTGACTTAGTTTAAGAGGGGCCTCCAAAACCATGTTAGCTCACCTGTTATAACTGTTAATATTTACACTTGAACCTGAGAAGCCCCTGATTATAATACTGAATATAAACATTTATTTCCTAGGTGAACTAGCTTTTCTTAGTAAAAGTGATATCCAAAATAATTGAATGAGGTACTTTAAAAAGGCATTCAGGAAGAGTGGGTACTACTCAGGATTCCTTAAATCATTCTAAGAAGATTCAAGAGGGACCTGAGTGTTAAATCCTGGGATGTTTACCCTGGGGCTTGGGCGATACGGAATTCTGCTTCTAGGATGACATTTTTATGATTTTGTATTTTCTCCATAGGCTCACTGGCTCCTCTCCTCTGTGGTAAGTTTTCTTAAATACTTAAAGGAAGACTCTAATTATATTTTCTATATTGACGTGTTTGAGTCGAGGTGTTAGAGTACTGAATATCCCATGGACTGTCAAAATAACAAACAAGTAGTGTTGGAGACAGTGCAACAAGAGAGCCCCTTACAATCAAGAATGGCAAAATTTCATCTCACAGAATTAGGACAGGTTTTTAGGAGGGGTCATTCCTTGGAAAACTACATCATGCTTGGAAAGGTGGAGGGTCAGGCAAACAGAGGAAGATCCTCAATTAAATGGATGGGCACAGTGACTGCAGCAATGAACTCAAGTATGTCAGAGAGGGTGAAGGTGGCACAGGATGGGGAAGGTTCAGACCTGTTGCTCATAGGGTTACCATGAGTTGTACTTGACTCGAAGAGGCCTAACAACAACATGTCCTATGTGAGTGTTACATTCTCTTTTTTAAACTTACTTAAAAATACATGTTTTGGTGTTTTAGTTGTATTTTATTGTACATTCTACTCTGGTAGCCTAGTGGCAAGAAGCTGCGCTGAAATCCCAAAGGCATGCAGTTCAAGGCCACAAGCTGCTCCATAAGAGAAGGATGGGCAATCTCCCTCTGTGCGATTACCTGCCTCTGAAAACCCACCAAAGGATTTGCTGTAGGTTGGTTCTAACTCTATGCTACTCAAAAACATTTAAAGTAGATGAACAAACACTTTCAATTTTTAAATTGAAAGGTCATTTTTCATTCAATTCTAGTTTGCATCAGTTGGTATCATTCATCTTATTCTGCTGTAGCAGCATGTATTTTACAAGTTAATACATTTTACAATATAATTGAGCTCTGTGTAGTTGACCTAGTGGGTAAAGTGTTGCACTGCCAATCCTAAAGCATATAGTGTGAATCTACCAGCTATTCTACAGGAGAAAGACGAGCGATCTCCTCCTGTGTAATCTATGTTGTTGTTGTTGTTGTTGTTATGTGCCGTCGAGTCGCTTGCGACTCATAGCGACCCTATAAACAACAGCCCTAAACTCTGCTCTGTCCTGTGCCAATCGCACTGTCTTTGACACACCCATCCTGATTACCCCAGTCACTGAATCAATCCACCTCATAGAGGGCCTTCCCCTCCTGCGCCGTCTCTCCACCCTCCAAGCATGATGTCCTTCTCCAAGGACCTGTCTCTCCTCACAACATGTCCAAAGTATGTCAGACAAAGCCCCAGAATCCTTGCCTCTAAGGAGCCACCCGGTTTAACCCTTTCCAGGACGAATCTGTTTGTTTTCCTAGCAGTCCATGGTATTCTCAATACTCTTCTTCAGCACCACAGCTCAAAGGCATCAATTCTCCTTCTATCCTCCTTGGTCATTGTCCAACTCTCTCATACATAACAAGTGATTGCGAAGACCATGGCCTATATCAAACGCACCTTAGTCTCCAGGGAAACACCATTGTTCTTCAGTACTTTCGAGAGGGCCCTAACAGCAGACTTTCCCATGGCAATGTGCCTTTTAATTTCCTGGCTACTGGTACCAAGACTGTTGACTGTGGAGCCAAGCAAACTAAAGCTGTGTAATTTATAGCCTCTGAAAATATACTGGAGGGTTAACTATGAGTTGGTTCCAACTTGATGGCACATAACTGTAACAACAAGTGAAATATATACTGTATGGAACTATGAGTTTGAGATACTGGTGTCCTGTGATCTTAATGTCACCTCAGGAACAAAAATGTTACTAATAAAACTGAAAAGGAGTAGAAAAGTTCAACAGAAATTTGATTGGAAGTCATTTACTTCATGTTTTAGATTAAATGTAGACTGGTAGCTTGAAATCAGAAAAACCTTAAACCAAGATATTCAGGAATTCAGCATTTATGTCTGCAAAGTACTAAAATCACATAACATTCCCTCATAGCTAGAGAAAGACTTCACTGTTCAAAACCAGTATAGGTCATGTTTCTCTGGTATTTGTTACTTGCTATTTTATTTTGCAGGAATTTTTTTCCTTCTAGTTTATTTATAAAATTCTAATACAAATTTGACCAAATTCTTTCAATTTCTCTCACCCACCCACCCACCCACCCATCAAATTGTACAATTCAATGGTTAATCCTCCCTTCCCCCTGCACATCCACATCCTCTGTTTCCAGTCTCTCTCACCCCTCCTGGATCTTTATGCTCATTCTACAATAAAGGTCTTATACAATATTTACCCTTATGAGACTGAGTTAGTTCACTCAACATAATGCTCTCCAGTCCCTCCCAAGTAATAATTTACAAAGTTATTGCTCCTGCGTGCTGCACAGTATTTCATTGTGTGAATGTACCATAATTTCTCAATCCATTCATTTGTAGTTGGACATTTGTGCTATTTCCATGTTCTTGAGATGGTGAATAATGCTGCTATGAACACTGGTGTACAAATCTCAGTTTGTGCCTCAGTTCTCATATACTTAGGGTATACTCCAAGTAGTGAAATAGCTGGGTCATATGGAATTTCTATGTTCAGCTTTTTGAGGAAGCCCCAAACTGCCTTCCAAAATGGTTATACCATTCATTTTACAATCCCACCAACAATGTATAAGAGTTCCTTTCTGCCACATCCTCTCCAACATCTATTACTTGCTGCCCTGGTAAACTTTGCCACTGTACTAGAGTGAAATGGTACCTCATTGTGGTTTTGATTTGCATCTCTCTTATTTTGCAGGTATTTCTGCAGGCTCAGTAGTTCTGATCATCTTGATTTCTGTCACCTTATGCATGATACGAAACCACAAAGAACGGTAAGTTCATATGTGTGTTTGAAGTGCATCAATGTTTGACTTGTTTGGCTGAAACTAAGTACAGAAGTGCAAGGTATATATAAAAGGAAAATTGCAATGATGGTAACTGGAAGAAGATATTCTGGGTAATACAGGACAACATTCTAAGAGAACTTCACTAAAAACTTTATTCAAATGGCACATCAATCTATAAAGTAGAGAGAAAAAAAATATTTTAAAATTCCAGTGGCCTTTCCTGAAAATATTTTGGTATATTCCTGTCTGATATTTTCCTTTGCATTCTTTTTCTTTTTTAACTGATTTTGTTTTCATTTGTTTTATTGGTTTGAATACAATCTTTCATATGCATTGTGCTTCATTCAATTCTCTTGTGTTTTATACAACTACACTTTGTTTTATAATTACATTGTATTTTATACAATAATTCATATACCTGCTGGGTTTTTTAATTTTACTTTTTTAATTGGCTTGCTTACAAAGTTTTTATACACTGTGTTTCATACAATCATTCTCATGTTTTATAAAATCAATCACCATTTGATCTTGCACATACATTGTGTTTTATATATCTATGCCTTTTATTCCCCCATCTCTTTAAGTTCTAATTGCATCTTTTCTATTCGTTCACCCCTCTATCCTCCCACTAATCCCTGCTATCCTTGTGATTCCCCCCACTTTATTCTGCCACCCTTCTCACCTTCTCTTTTCCCTTCCTCTTAAACATTTATACATTTATTGCTCAATTTTTCTCCTATTTTCACAATAAGGGACTTATGCAGTATTTGTCCTTTTGTGACTGAGTTATGTTATTCAACATCCTTCTCTCTAGATTCTCCTATGGGGTATCATTTTCTATAAACGCATGGTTGTTCTTTAGAGCTGAATAGTATTTCATTGTGAGAACATACAACAGTTTCTCTATCCACTTAATCTGTTGGTGGGAATTTTAGTTGTTTCCATTTCCTTGGTATTGTGAATAACACTGAGATGACCACAGGTGTACGTATCTCGGTTTATGCCTCAGCTCCAACTTCCTCCTAGCAGTAGAATAGCTGGGTCATATGGGATTTCTGTGTTCAACTTTTTAGGAAACATCAAACTGCCTTCCATATCAGTGCATGAGAGTTCCATTCTCTTTGCATCCTCTCCAACATTTGTTGTTTTCTGAAATGTTACTGCTGTTGCAGTGAGATGGTATCTCCCTGTTATTTTGATTTGCATCTCTCTCTGATTACCATGCCTCATGTGTTCGCTGGACATCCAAAGTGTCCTCCTTTGTGAAGAGTCTGTTCATGTCTTTTACCCATTTTGTAGTTGAGGTACCAGTCTTTTTCTTGTGGAGGCCCTGTAGGATTCTGTAAACTTTAGTTATGAGACCTTTGTCTGATTAAAAAAACCAAATGTTTTGTTCCTTGCTGGCGAGCTTTATTTTCATTTTATTGGAGAAAGTTTTTGATGCACAGAGAGTTGGATTTTAAGAAGGTCTCATTGGTCAATTTTATCCCCTCCTGGTTATGCATTTTTGCCTATTTCTGCCGTACACTAGGGATTCTATATTTGTTCCTATTTTGTCTCTGATGATCTTTATGGTTTTTGCTTTTACCCCTAGGTCTATAATCTTTTTTGAGTTGGTTTTTGTGTATGGTGTGAGATGGGAGTCCTATTTCAGTTGTCTTCTGGCAGATGTTCAATTTTGCCAGTACCATTTTTAATGTCCCCATTTAAATATTTTTCATCTTCAGATATCAATTAGCCATAGACAGATGTGTTGATTTCTGAGTGCTCTATTCTGTTACATTGGTCTATGTGGCTGTTGGTGTACCAATATCATACTGTTTCGGTTACTGTAGCTGTGTAGTAGGTTTTGGGCGTCATTCTTCTGAAGCTCTGGTAGCCTAGTTAGTGGTAAGAAGCAGCATTAAGATCCCAAAGGCACGTGGTTCAAATCCACCACTGCTCCATGTGAGAAGGACAGGCAATCTCCTCCCGTGTGATTAACTGCCTCTGAAAACCCACTGGAGGGTCAGCTGTGGGCCAGTTCTGACTTGACAGTACTCAACAACAATGAATTTATTTTTTCCTTTTTCAGAAGAGTTTTGCTTATTCAAGGTCTCTTTACTTTCCCAATAAAATTAGAAATTGTCTTTTCTATCTTCTTCAATAATGTGTTTGTATAATGTGTATGTATATTAGGATTGCATTGAGCATGTAGATTGCTTTTGGTTGGATTGTCATTTTCACAATGTTGAGTCTTCCTATTCATAGACTAGGAAAATGATTCCATTCAGTTAGGTCTCCTATTGTTTCTTGTAGTAGCATTTTGTAGCTTTTCTTATAAGATCTTTCGTGTCTTTGTTGTTGTTCTTAGGTGCTGTTGAGTCATGTAGGACTCATAGCAACCCTATGAACAACCAACTCTGCCTGATCTTATGTCATCTTTATCAGCTCTGATACACTAGAACCTATTGCTGAAGTCACTGTGTCAATCCATCTCATTGGGAGTCTTCCTCTTCCTCATTGACCCGCCATCTTTCCAAGCATGATATCCCTTTCCAAGGAATATCCTTGAATGTCCAATGTATGAAAGAAGTAGTTTTGTCATCTTTGCTCCCAAGGAGCATTCTGGCTGTATCTGATTGTTCTTGGGCAATCCATGGGATATTCAGCACTCTTCTCCAACACCACTACTCAAAGGCATCATTTTTTCTTCTGTCATCCTTATTCATTGTCCTTCTCTCCAAAGTATAGAAGGTGACTGAAAAGACCATGACCTGAATCAGGTGTGCCTTAGTCTCCAAACTTACATCATTGCTCCTGTGTCTTCTTGAGAGGTCTCTGACAGCAGACTTGCCCAGAGCAATTCATCTCCTGATTTTCTGACTGCTAGCATTGACTGTGAGGTTTATTCATAAGCATTTAATCTTATAATTGGATATTGTAAATGGTATTGCTTTTCTAGTTTCCTTTTCTATCCTTTCTTTGTTATTGTAGAGAAATCTAACTGGTTATTGTACAGTTGTGCTTTTTGAAGTGTTGTTTCCCTTTTTTATTGGTTTGTATAAAATAATTCTTATGCATTGTGTTTCATTCTTGAACATCGTGTTTTACACAATCTTTCATTTACATTATGTTTCATTCACATACATTGTATTATATAGAATATTGATCTATGCCTATTATATTTTTATATAAAATTTTTATTTCATACTGGTTTACTTACAAAGTTCATATACATTGTTTTTCACACAATCTTTCCATTTCCATTACTCACCCCTCCCTCTACCAATCAAGTTGTGTGACCTCATGACTTACCACATCCTTCCACTGCCTGCCCATTCTTACACCTCTACTTCCCCCTCTCCCCCTTTAAATCCTCATACTCGTTCTATAAAAATGGTCTTATACAGTATTTGTCCTTATGGGACTGAATTAGTTCACTGAGCATAATACTCTTCAGGCCCTCCCAAGTTAGATAGTAATTTACAAAATCACTCCTCCTGCTTGCTGCGTGTTGCATAGTATTCCATCGTGTGAATGTACCATAATTTCTTAATCCATTCTATTGTGTTTAGACATTTGGGCTGTTTCCATGTTCTTGTGACAGTGAATAATGCTGCTATAAACATTGGTGTAAAAGTCTCCATTTGTGCCTCAGTTCTCATTCTCCTGAGGTATATTCCAAGCAGTGCAATACCTGGGCTATATGAAATATGTATGTTCAGCTTTCTTTCCATCATTTGTAATTTCTTCAGTAATAGTTCATGTCTACTCCACATGATTATATTTCTTCTGCCTTCTTGTCTCTAAGGTATTCATTGCGTCCACTATCTGGTCTGCTTTGTTAGAAGACTTGCTTTGTTTTCTGCATAGTGTTTGAACTTGACTGCTGCTATCTTGACTTTATGTGAGGTTCTTCTTGAAATGTGGGAGGTGCCATGCATGAATACCTGTCCTGTCAATGGGAGGGTGTTGCTTCTGCTGGGAGCTGGTCAAAGTCCCTGGAAGTGTGACCATGGGAGCTCTCCTCCCCAAATCACAGTGCACAGGAGATTGCTCCATTTTGAAGCTTGATGTGAGTACTTTTAATCAAAATTTGTATATAGTTTCCTGTGGGGGATTTTCTTTCATTTATCCTAATGACCTTGTCTCTTATTTCTTTAAATCATGTTCTGCTTTTAGTTATTTAAGAGCATATCAATTATGTGTGTCTCTCTTCTGTGGAAATTTTAAATTACTTCCACATATATTTTAAAGAATAGTATAACACATTATAAGAAATAAGGAAGCAATCTTTATCACCTCTTATCACTAGTGACCTAGTGGTAAGGAGCTGCACTGCCATCCCAAAGGCCTGTGGTTTGATTCCACCAGCTGCTCCATGAAAGAAAAAATGACAGTCTCCTCCCATGCAATGTACTTTCTAAAAGCCTATTGGAGGATCAGCTAAGAATCGGTTCCAACTCTACAGTACACAGCAATAACAATTTCTTAGAATGGGACTGCTGATTGCCCTCTAATATTTTCTAATTCATAGTTACCTGGCAGGGCAGAGTGGAACTGCTCCATCAGGTTTCCAAGGCTGTCAGTCTTTACAGAAGCAGATACTTCTTTTTCTTCCCTAGAGCAACTGGTGGATACACACTACCACCATTCAAGGCTCGCAGAGAAGTGTTTAACCACTACACCATCAGAATGCGATGTCTAGGGGTTAATTTGTAAGCATTTAAAATGCTTGATAAATATTCCCCTGTGCCTTTCCAAAATATTTCTTCTAATTTGATCAAGTCAAGTAATTAATGTATTTGACTCTGTTGAGTTTCTACAACCATTTTTCTGCTTCGCCGATTTGGTTATTCTTCTAATTATGAACTGTGTCCAATTACTACAGCTTTCCATCATAACAATATCTGGTAGGGCAAGAATTGCATATATAATTAACATTTTCCCGTTTTCTTCTGTCTATTCATATAGGTAATTTTTAGATTCCTTTGTCATTTATAAAAACAAACATGCTAAAACTGCATGTAAAACTATGGATTCACTTAGGAGAAAATCACATATTTAATATCATGTCTTCCCATTCATAAGTTTAGTATCCATTTCCATTTGTCCAAGTCATCTTTTCTCTATCCCATCAGTTGTTCTCATGATATTTAAATATATTAGGAATTTGCTATGCTTTACTATTAGGTTTTATTTTTCCAGAAAATAGACACAATAATTTATTATTAAGTAACACTTTTTATTATTAGTATCTGAGTGTATTGGAATTTATTTTGTAAGATAGTATGCACTAGTCTGTCATTTCTTGTACAGAGACAACTTGAGATTGCTGTGATGCTAAACACTGTGACACTGTTGTGACAAATATGATAATGGTTATCCATGGTGGACAGTGTTCCCCGATTAAATAAAACAAGGTTGGAAGCAGGAGTGGCATCCACTTACAAAATAGCTTGCCTCTAGAAACTCTATGAACTTGGAGAAATGATGAAAGTTATACAAGTGTTCAGGTCTTTCATTCATAGGGTCTCTATGAGTCTTCTATGACTTGACGGCACCTAACAACAACAAGAACAAGATAGTACATGATGTCATATCACTTGTGCTTTTTTTTCTATCAAGAGTCAGTGTTTCCAAAAATTATTTAGAAGGCAATTAAAAAAATAATAATATTGACCCCATTTTTAGTATAACAACATTAAAATAAAATTTGTGTTTCATTGCTCAAAATCATGCTGGTGTTTTGGGTGGCTTTTTTTAATGTTATCATTCACCCCCACTGCCATTGAGTCAGAACCAACTCATAACTGACTCCCCATTGATTCCCAAAGCTGTAAACCATTCAAACCACCAGCATCTGGATTAGCAATGGAACTCCCTGCTGACTACAACACCAGAGTTCCTTTATTTATTTATTTATTATTTATGTATTTATTTATTTATTTTCTTTCAATGCCTTTTTTATATTCTAGAAAGCAGTCTATTTTAATTCCTAGTCACATAGGTAG